AAAATGTCATGTCCCACAAACGCAAAATGTCATGTCCCACACACACAAAATGTCATGTCCCACACACACGCAAAATGTCATGTCCCACACACAAACACGCAAAATGTCATGTCCTACACAAGTAAAATGTCATGTACTACACTAGAAAAATGTTACATCCTACACAAGCAAAATATCATGTCCTACACAAGTAAAATGTCATGTTCCACACAAGCAAAATGTCATGTCCTACACAAGCAAAATGTCATGTGCTACATCAGTAAAATTTCATGTCCTACACAAGTAAAAAGTCATGCCCTACACAAGTAAAATGTCATGTCCTACACTAGTAAAATGTCACGTCCCGCACAAGCAAAATGTCATGTCCTGCACAAGTAAAATATCATGTCCCACACACGCAAAATGTCATGTCCCACAAACGCAAAATGTCATGTCCCACACGCGCAAAATGTCATGTCCCACACACACGCAAAATGTCATGTCCCACACACAAACACGCAAAATGTCATGTCCTACACAAGTAAAATGTCATGTACTACACTAGAAAAATGTTACATCCTACACAAGCAAAATATCATGTCCTACACAAGTAAAATGTCATGTTCCACACAAGCAAAATGTCATGTCATACACAAGCAAAATGTCATGTGCTACATCAGTAAAATTTCATGTCCTACACAAGTAAAAAGTCATGTCCTACACAAGTAAAATGTCATGTCCTACACTAGTAAAATGTCACGTCCCGCACAAGCAAAATGTCATGTCCTGCACAAGTAAAATATCATGTCCCACACACGCAAAATGTCATGTCCCACAAACGCAAAATGTCATGTCCCACACACGCAAAATGTCATGTCCCACACACACGCAAAATGTCATGTCCCACACACAAACACGCAAAATGTCATGTCCTACACAAGTAAAATGTCATGTACTACACTAGAAAAATGTTACATCCTACACAAGCAAAATATCATGTCCTACACAAGTAAAATGTCATGTTCCACAAAAGCAAAATGTCATGTCCTACACAAGTAAAATGTCATGTCCTTCACAAGTAAAATATCATGTCCCAAATGTCATGTCCTACACAAGTAAAATGTCATGTCCTTCACAAGTAAAATGTCATGTCCCAAATGTCATGTCCTACACAAGTAAAATGTCATGTCATGCACAAGTAAAATATCATGTCCCACACACGCAAAATGTCATGTCCCACACAAGCAAAATGTCATATCCTACACAAGCAAAATGTCATGTCCTACACCAGCAAAATGTCATGTCCTACATAAGTAAAATGTCATGTCATACACAAGTATGTCATGTCCTACACAAGTAAAATGTCATGTCCTGCACAAGTAAAATATCATCTCCCACACAAGCAAAATGTCATGTCTCACATACGCAAAATGTCATGTTATGCACAAGTAAAATGTCATGTCCTACACAAGTATGTCATGTCCTACACAAGTATGTAATGTCCTACACAAGTATGTCATGTCCTACACAAGTAAAATGTCATGTCCTACACAAGCAAAATGTCATGTCCTACATAAGTAAAATGTCATGTAATACACAAGTAAAATGTCATGTCATACACAAGTAAAATGTCATGTCCCACACAAACAAAATGTCATGTCTCACATAAGCAAAATGTCATGTCATGCACAAGTAAAATGTCATGTCCTACACAAGTATGTCATGTCCTACACAAGTATGGCATGTCATACACAAGTAAAATGTCATGTCCTACACAGGCAAAATTTCATGTCCTACACTAGTAAAATGTCATGTCCTACACAAGTAAAATGTCATGTCCTACACAAGTAAAATGTCATGTCCTACACAAGTAAAATATCATGTCCTACACAAGTATGTCATGTCCTACACGAGTATGTCATGTCCTACACAAGTAAAATGTCATGTCCTACACAAGTAAAATATATCATACACAAGTAAAATGTCATGTCCTACACAAGTAAAATGTCATGTCCTACACAAGTAAAATATATCATACACAAGTAAAATGTCATGTCCTACACTAGTAAAATGTCATGTCCTACACAAGTAAAATGTCATGTTCTACACAAGTAAAATGTCATGTCATACACAAGTAAAATGTCACGTCCTACACTAGTAAAATGTCATGTCCTACACAAGTATGTCATGTCCTACACAAGTTAAATGTCATGTCCTACACAAGTATGGCATGTCCTACACAAGTATGTCATGTCCTACACTAGTAAAATGTTACCTCTTGTGTTACATATATTTTATCTGTTACCTTTTTATGATATATACTTTATTTGTAACCTTGTTGTGATATATACTTTATCTGTTACCTTGTTGTTATATATACTTTATCTGTTACCTCGTTGTGATATATACTTTATCTGTTACCTTGTTATATATACTTTATCTGTTACCTCGTTGTGATATATACTTTATCTGTACCTTGTTGTGATATATACTTTATATATACTTTATTGTTATATATATTTTATCTGTTACCTTGTTGTGATATATACTTTATCTGTACCTCGTTTTGATATATACTTTATCTGTTACCTAGTTGTTATATATACTTTATTGTTATATATACTTTTTCTGTTACCTTGTTGTGATATATACTTTATCTGTTACCTTGTTATATATACTTTATCTGTACCTTGTTGTGATATATACTTTATCTGTACCTTGTTGTGATATATACTTTATCTGTTACCTTGTTGTTATATATATTTTATCTGTTACCTTGTTATATACTTTATCTGTTACATCGTTAATACTTTATCTGTGCCTTGTTGTGATATATACTTTATCTGTTACCTTGTTGTTATATATACTTTATTGTTATATATACTTTATCTGTACCTTGTTGTGATATATACTTTATCTGTTACCTTGTTGTGGTATATACTTTATCTGTTACCTTGTTGTTATATATACTTTATTGTGATATATACTTTATCTGTACCTTGTTGTGATATATACTTTATCTGTTACCTTGTTGTGATATATACTTTATTGTGATATATACTTTATTGTTATATATACTTTATCTGTTACCTTGTTGTTATATATACTTTATCTGTACCTTGTTGATATATACTTTATTGTTATATATACTTTATCTGTTACCTTGTTATATACTTTATCTGTTATCTTGTTATATATACTTTATTGTGATATATACATTATCTGTACCTTGTTGTGATATATACTTTATCTGTTACCTTGTTGTGATATATACTTTATCTGTTACCTTGTTGTTATATATACTTTATTGTTATATATACTTTATCTGTTACCTCGTTGTGATATATACTTTATCTATTACCTTGTTATATATACTTTATCTGTACCTTGTTGATATATACTTTATTGTTATATATACTTTATCTGTTACCTTGTTGTTATATATACTTTATTGTTATATATACTTTATCTGTTACCTCATTGTGATATATACTTTATCTGTTACCTTGTTATATATACTTTATCTGTACCTTGTTGTGATATATACTTCATCTGTTACCTTGTTGTTATATATACTTTATCTGTTACCTTGTTATATATACTTTATCTGTACCTTGTTGTGATATATACTTTATCTGTACCTTATTGTTATATATACTTTATTGTTATATATACTTTATTTGTTACCTTGTTATATATACTTTATCTGTCCCTTGTTGTGATATATACTTTATCTGTACCTTGTTGTGATATATACTTTATTGTTATATATATTTTATCTGTTACCTTGTTATATACACTTTATCTGTACCTTGTTGTGATATATACTTTATCTGTACCTTGTTGTGATATATACTTTATCTGTTACCTCGTTGTGATATATACTTTATCTGTTACCTTGTTGTTATATATACTTTTTCTGTTACCTTGTTATATATACTTTATCTGTACCTTGTTGTGATATATACTTTATCTGTACCTCGTTGTGATATATACTTTATCTGTTACCTTGTTGTTATATATACTTTTTCTGTTACCTTGTTATATATACTTTATCTGTACCTTGTTGTGATATATACTTTATCTGTTACCTCATTGTGATATATACTTTATCTGTTACCTTGTTATATATACTTTATCTGTACCTTGTTGTGATATATACTTTATCTGTTACCTTGTTATATACTTTATCTGTTACCTTGTTATATATACTTTATCTGTACCTTGTTGTGATATATACTTTATCTGTACCTTATTGTTATATATACTTTATCTGTACCTTGTTGTGATATATACTTTATTGTTATATATATTTTATCTGTTACCTTATTGTTATATATACTTTATTGTTATATATACTTTATTGTTATATATACTTTATCTGTACCTTGTTGTGATATATACTTTATCTGTACCTTGTTGTGATATACACTTTATTGTTATATATATTTTATCTGTTACCTTATTGTTATATATACTTTATTGTTATATATACTTTATTGTTATATATACTTTATCTGTACCTTGTTGTGATATATACTTTATTGTTATATATACTTTATCTGTTACCTTGTTGTTATATATACTTTATCTGTTACCTTATGTCCTTGTACAGAACTGATATACTGAGACATTCAGCTCCATTTTAAATCTGAATAATTTGATAACGTTTGACGTCTACCGAATCTGACGAGATCTACCTCTGTGACGGGGGGCTTTGAAGATTTCGATGTTGAAGGGTTTATGTTAGCAGTCAGCAATGTGTACCAAGTGCCCAGGGGTCTATAATATAATAGGGAAGCAAGTTTATAATCATCACGCATGACATCCGACTGTAGTCAGCTGTGGACAATTCAGTTCTCGATCTACAATTACATGTATACAATAGATACATTCACTCTCCTGTACGTATAGTGAAATATCACACGTTTTAACACATATACCAAATTGCACACATGTATAGGTCCTACACGGGTGTCAGTTGTCTACATATAACGACAGGGCTGCATTGTCCAGCTTACCTTTACGCCGTAAGTACGTCCATCAGAAAGTCCGGTGAGAGAATGATCACACACACACTATTTAAACACGATTAAATGTTGCATTTAGTATATATATATATGTACATGATTCAGACACAACAACGGCCCAGTCTGTGTCCAAGCTGTATGTGTCTTGCGTTTTGATTGGATAACTCGATAGAAAACAGGTTGTAACTTATACATCACATCCAACCACCAATGGCGGCCATCTTTAAATGTCTGACCTGGGGCTCTAAACGAGGGAGTTGACTAGTTGACGGGAGATTTGTTACTGGGAAGATGAATAGTTGACCATACTATTTCTATACCCTCTCAAGTGACTTGTCACACACGCTAATTTATTTGTGGAACAACACCTGGATGTCCAGTGGCCGCTATCTGACGACTAAAGCCAGCAGTAATCCTATGAAGGTTCACTACCACTTTGTACGTTATATGTTCTTTCGGTTTGTATTTTGTATAAATCTGATAACCTAGAATGCCGAGGGTTTAAAAAAATATTTATTATGCTAACAGCTTGCGCAACATTGATTACGTCACGTTCTGTGATATTGTCCGGCATAATTGAACGGTTATGACAAAACATCGGTTTGTGTAATTGTTTATATTGCAAGAGTAAAATATTGATGACGTATATTTGTATAATGTGACGGAGGTAATTATTCATCCGAGTGCCTGTTTATTGTTACGCTCAATCGATTAAGCTAAACCAGAGAAGAGATAGACATTTACCAGGGTTACATTTGTAAAAGAAATATCACTGAATTTGTGTACATTTTCTCTTAATGAGATGCCTACTACTATAACCATACACATACAACTCTCAGCCAATACCACCACACGTTCGCCTTCACTTCACAGTCAACATTCACTTACGAAGGCAGTGGCCTCTCAACACATGGAAACAGGAACACTCACCACACCTCAATTCTTGTAGCCCATCCTACATTACTCGTTTCATTTACCCTTCCAAACTCTACCTAATATAATGTAGATACCGAAATCACCTTTTAACACCAACCAAGCACTAACGTTGTCCGTTGGGTGGGACTTAAAATGGTTTCCCTTCTGGAAATGTCCAACTTGCGCGGTGATGATCCCTGCAATGTCAGCGGTCGATGGAGATCGGGCGTGGTCAAGTTAGGATATGTTAGGTCAGGATCATATATCAAATATTACTATAGACAATACAAAATTATACTAGAAGTAGGCAACATGTGATCAAAGTAGATATCATGTCATGGGGGTCAACTTTTATGTCTTAGTAACAACTCTATCCCATCCCCCTTCAACCATTGTAATAGGCGATCACACCAGAACACGCATGAAGGGAAGTAACTCTAGTTCAGTGATAGGAATTTTTCTCGTGTCTATCTTAGACCGGTAATGTTTCAGTGTACTGAAAAATACAAACATTGCAGTTAAAGATGAAATGTTGTTCAATTTCAATAATGTTCTTTATAATAATAATTCCAGAGCCTTGTTTCTCGAGGGTAAACCTACCTACCAGATGAAGTAAGATTGCGTATGTTGGTTAAACCTCAGTAAGAATGTCAGTTTTTCATTTCAACTTTTAGAAATATGTTCCAGTTGTGATTTTACATTTGATCAAAACTTGCGCTCAAACTTATCTATAAATGTTTGAGTGAATTTTCCATGCTACAAATATCCTCTAACAGACCAGGTTGTTTGTTTGTTACAGGACGTTAAAGGGGTTTGTCCTCGATAGTTTTTTTTTCTATATTTCTGTTTAAATGCCATAATGCAATAGTCTGCGGTATCCATTCTCTCTCGGTACACAGACCACCAAGAAACCTACATGGTCCTGCCCCGTCTGAGGTATTTCATTTATCTCGGTATACAGATCACCAAGAAAACTACATGGTCCTGCCCCGTCTGCGGTATCCTGTCTACAGACCACCAAGAAACCTACATGGTCCTGCCCCGTCTGCGGTATCCCGTCTCTCTCGGTACACAGACTACCAAAGAACATACACGGTCCTGCCCTGTATGCGGTATCCCGTTTATCTCGGTATACAGACCATCAAGAAACCTACATGGTCCTGCCCCGTCTGCGGTATCCCGTCTCTCTCGGTACACAGACCACCAAGAAACCTACATGGCCCTGCCCGTCTGTGGTATCCCGTTTATCTCGGTACACAGACCACCAAGGAACCTACATGGTCCTGCCCCGTCTGCGGTATCCCGTTTATCTCGGTACACAGACAACCAAGAAACCTACATGGCCCTGCCCGTCTGTGGTATCCCGTTTATCTCGGTACACAGACCACCAAGAAACCTACATGGCCCTGCCCGTCTGTGGTATCCCGTTTATCTCGGTACACATACCACCAAGAAACCTACATGGCCCTGCCCGTCTGTGGTATCCCGTTTATCTCGGTACACAGACCACCAAGAAACCTGCATGGACTTGCCCGTCTGTAGTATCCCGTTTATCTCGGTACACAGACCACCAAGGAACCTACATGGCCCTGCCCGTCTGTGATATCCCGTTTATCTCGGTACACAGACCACCAAGAAACCTACATGGCCCTGCCCGTCTGTGGTATCCCGTTTATCTCGGTACACATACCACCAAGAAACCTACATGGCCCTGCCCGTCTGTGGTATCCCGTTTATCTCGGTACACAGACCACCAAGAAACCTGCATGGACTTGCCCGTCTGTAGTATCCCGTTTATCTCGGTACACAGACCACCAAGGAACCTACATGGCCCTGCCCGTCTGTGATATCCCGTTTATCTCGGTACACAGACCACCAAGAAACCTACATGGCCCTGCCCGTCTGTGGTATCCCGTTTATCTCGGTACACAGACCACCAAGAAACATACATGGCCCTGCCCCGTCTGCGGTATCCCGTTTATTTCGGTACACAGACCACCAAGAAACATACATGGCCCTGCCCGTCTGTGGTATTTAGTTTGTCTCGGTACACAGACCACCAAGAAACCGGTTCCACCCCGTTCAAGCTATTCAGGTGCATACACACATTTTGAGGTCGGAGGGAGGTCGCACGACGTCAAAATGTTACCTCGGCGATGACGAGCTTTTGTTTAAGATGACATGTTAAGACACGCCTTCACACGTGGCGCGTGACATGTCACGTGCAATATACCTCCGTATATATAGTGTATAATTTACAACAATGATGTATATAACTTACAACAATGATGTATATATATAACTTACAACAATGATGTATATATATAACTTACAACAATGATGTATATAACTTACAACACCGATGTATGTAACTTACAATAATGATGTATGTAACTTACCACAATGATGTATGTAACTTACCACAATGATGTATGTAACTTACAACAATGATGAATATATATAACTTACAACAATGATGTATATAACTTACAACAATGATGTATATAACTTACAACAACGATGTATATAACTTACAACAACGATGTATATAACTTACAACAACGATGTATATAACTTACAACAATGATGTATATAACTTACAACAACGATGTATATAACTTACAACAATGATGTATATAACTTACAACAATGATGAATATATATAACTTACAACAATGATGTATATAACTTACAACAATGATATATGTAACTTACAACAATGATGTATATAACTTACAACAACGATGTATATAACTTACAACAATGATGTATATAACTTACAACAATGATGTATTTAACTTACAACAATGATGTATATATATAACTTACAACAATGATGTATATAACTTACAACAATGATGTATATAACTTACAACAATGATGTATATAACTTACAACAACGATGTATATAACTTACAACAACGATGTATATAACTTACAACAACGATGTATATAACTTACAACAATGATGTATATAACTTACAACAACGATGTATATAACTTACAACAATGATGTATATAACTTACAACAATGATGAATATATATAACTTACAACAATGATGTATATAACTTACAACAACGATGTATATAACTTACAACAATGATGTATATAACTTACAACAATGATGAATATATATAACTTACAACAATGATGTATATAACTTACAACAATGATGTATATAACTTACAACAATGATGAATATATATAACTTACAACAACGATGTATATAACTTACAACAATGATGTATATAACTTACAACAATGATGAATATATATAACTTACAACAATGATGTATATAACTTACAACAACGATGTATATAACTTACAACAATGATGTATGTAACTTACCACAATGATGTATGTAACTTACAACAATGATGTATATAACTTACAACAATGATGTATATAACTTACAACAATGATGTATATAACTTACAACAATGATATATGTAACTTACAACAATGATGTATATAACTTACAACAAGGATGTATATAACTTACAACAAAGATGTATATAACTTACAACAAAGATGTATATAACTTACAACAATGATGTATATAACTTACAACAATGATGTATATAACTTACAACAACGATGTATGTAACTTACAACAACGATGTATATAACTTACATCAATGATGTATGTAACTTACAACAATGATATATGTAACTTACAACAATGATGTATATATATAACTTACAACAATGATGAATATATATAACTTACAACAATGATGTATATAACTTACAACAACGATGTATATAACTTACAATAATGATGTATATAACTTACAACACCGATGTATGTAACTTACCACAACGATGTATATAACTTACAACAACGATGTATATAACTTACAACAATGATGTATGTAACTTACAACAATGATGTATATAACTTACAACAATGATGTATATAACTTACAACAATGATATATGTAACTTACAACAATGATGTATATAACTTACAACAACGATGTATATAACTTACAACAACGATGTATATAACTTACAACAATGATGTATGTAACTTACAACAATGATGTATATAACTTACAACAATGATGTATATAACTTACAACAACGATGTATATAACTTACAACAATGATGTATATAACTTACAACAATGATATATGTAACTTACAACAATGATGTATGTAACTTACAACAATGATGTATATAACTTACAACAACGATGTATGTAACTTACAACAACGATGTATGTAACTTACAACAATGATGTATGTAACTTACAACAATGATGTATATAACTTACAACAACGATGTATATAACTTACAACAATGATGTATATAACTTACAACAACGATGTATATAACTTACAACAATGATGTATGTAACTTACAACAATGATGTATATAACTTACAACAATGATGTATGTAACTTACAACAATGATGTATGTAACTTACAACAATGATGTACATAACTTACAACAATGATGTATGTAACTTACAACAATGATGTACATAACTTACAACAATGATGAATATATATAATGTGACAGGATGGGGTGGTGAGGTGTGAAACGCGTATATTATGAACGATAAACTTATGTAATTACGTCTATAATGTGAGGAAATGGCGAAAAAGGGTTATAACTATGCAGAAATCTATTCATTGTTACATTAATTATATTACATTAATTATACCTGTAAGCGTTATGTAGCATTATCTGTTTGTACATGAAATAGTCGGCGAGCTGTGGAAGCATGGTCTTGTAGATGTTTTGACGGGAGCGAGAACTGGACGTGACGTAGTACGCCAGATGAGTAGTAAACAAATGTTATTTTTAGTACGAGTAGAAATTTTGGGAGTCGTACATCGTGGTTAAATGTGTTTGAAAGTGAAGTTGATTTGGTATGTAAATATAATATTAGATATTCTCATAAAGTTAATTGTGTAAACTGTGTACACAACTTATTCCAGCAAGAATTCAGCGGGAGAATGATTCCACGTGATTGCCATGGTAATTCCAGCAACGCTCCAGCAGAGATCAGTTACATTGGTTTGAGGGGTCACTTCTGTTTTGGAAGCAGAGGTGGGTGTTGCGTTATGTGATGCTTCTCTTTGTATTTTCCGCTAAGGGTGAAAGAGGCCATTTCCTCAAACTCCAAAGTGGCTGTCTTGTCTTGTATGTCTGTTCTTGTGTTAAATGTGGGATTTAGGATTTATTTTGGGAATTTCGTAGGGAGGAAAACTTAGGTTACAGTAGACCTAATCCTAATTTCTTGGGTGGGATGTAAAGACTGGTTAGGGAACATTGTAAATGATGGGATTTTGTAAGAGAACTATTAATTCAAATCATTACTATGTTTTTAGATCTTTAAAACCATTTCACTATCATTCATTCATAAGTTATAGAATATCATTTGGGGAGTTTTCTTAGGCTGTAGCTTGCTGGATCTAGGGTTTTTTACTTGTACTATTTATTCTATTGTATATTTATTCTCATTATTATTCCGGGAATTATTAAATTATTAATATAAAAATTCATCTTCCATTGTAAATAGCATTTATACATTTGTAAGCTATAGTGAGAATGAGGTGTGAGAGTGCTAGGTTGGATTATAATTTGTCATATGAAATAAGAATCCATAATTAAATTATTGAACTTTATACTACTCTTGGTTGTATTTGAGTGGAATCGCTGTCCCGGGGACAGTGATTGTGGCTTGATTATCTAAATACTTGATTAAAGCCATTCTGGTCTCAAGTCACTGTTAATGGTCAAAAGACAGATAATTCTTTGGAGTTCAGTTCTGGGCATGAACTATCCCTCAGTTGTATGGGACTGAGTTCTCTGCAAATGTCATTATCAGAAATACAAGTATAAGTCAATGTTGCGGACTTTAGATGGATGAAGAAAGGATCCAAGATGAATAAAGACATTCAATTATGGAGTAACATTTATTTAACAAAGTCAATGGGTTATATTTAATGAACTGGCATCAATCAGAGTGATTATTCAAACTTCTTTGTAGCAGTCAGCTGCGCTACCAAGATTAGTGGTTGATTATACCACTTGGCTGTTACATAGTTTTGGTGGCAGCGGAAACTTGGTTATCAGATGCTTATTTTTTATATTGTTTAATACACATAATTTTTATTAATCTTCTGTGTGTGTAACTAGTGTGTGTGCTAGTGTTGAAGATGTGTGTTTATATGGACAATTATTTTCCATGTATAGACTTGAGGAACCTATATTTTGGAAAATGTTGTGTAACTAGTGTGTATGCTAGTGTTGTGAGATTAGACGGTTGTTTATATGGACTACTATTTTTCATGTATAGATTTGAGGTACCTATAATTGGAAAATGTAGTGATCAGACTTTGTGGAATAATCAATTTTGATGGAATACTAAATATAATTCTGGTATGTGATTGAGGCCCACATACTGAATTCTCCAAAAGTTAATATGTTCAAGTAGCTAGAGAGAGCCAATGGGGTTAGGTTCTTGATAGATTATTTTGATGCAGACGTCATTATCTATTTTGTAACACATAGTTGATCAGGTTTAATACTATTAGGGGACACAACTCACGGATTCTGTGTACTGAGTAGAGTTGTTGTCTAGTTGTGGGAACTACCACCAGTGGATAAAGTCTTGTAGGTTGCTACTTTTCGTGTGAGACATATCTTTATAGAAGGTTAACCGGGGTATGGAGAGGTAGTGATCTGTTGTATTTGGATGCCTAACGGAGCTGGTGTTCAGGGCACCTAACAGATTTGGTGACTTTGTGGAATATCACTTTGTGGTGATATTGTTTTTTTCCCTTAGTGAGACATACATGGATGCGTATGGAGGGATAATTTTTTTTAGCTATAGCATTAACAGAATTATGTTATAGTTGTACTTGGACTCATTGAGTGGACTCAATGTGGAATTTTGAGAAATCATATACAGGTATATGCCGAACAAGACCTGGTGGTAGTTAAGGGTTTTTCATTGTCTAATAATACTGTAGGTGTACAGTTATTGTATTGAATAATTTTGGTGTGAAAATTGTATGTAATATACCGAAGTCCTGTAAGAATAATTGAACTAAGATTGTGAAACCATTATGTGATGACACAGATGTGTGTCTTAAGCAATGTTACTTTTTATTTTTTTCTCTTTACCTAATATTATAGTAAACATTGTTCCTAAAAATGTTATTAAACATAGATGGCAAAACTTGTATATTTACATTTTACAGGATTTTCAATCTTCCCTTACTTGACTGATTACTGAAATTCAAGAAACCGGGCCCTATTTAATTTTTCAAGTAACATTCCTTACGCTGGTTGATTGGAACTTTTGGGTAATTTGGATCATCCTAGTTTCTGTAACTATCTAGATAACAATCCGGTGTTCCGGTATATGTCTGAGTTCACCACCATACAGTGTGCTGTTCCGCTGTTAAGTGGTCATACTATTCCACCACACAGTGTGCTGTTCTGCTGTTAAGTGGCTCCAATCATTTCAGACAAATTCAGGTTTTCTTGTAAGGGTCTGAGTAAATACGCTTTTACAGATAGTGACTTCAGGTAAAACTGGCTAACAAACAATTCCAGTAAATCCTGCAACCTGAAATAATCTTGTCCAGAAGATGGCCAGCCGAAAGAGCTTAAGAATCCAAAGAAGACGCCAAGTAGATCCAGATGAAGATTCTGATGTTGAATTAATTATGAACCAACCTATTCAAAGGGACCAGACCAAAAATAGGCAGGGTGGAAAGAAGACAAGTAACACTTTTGATGTTTTGAGGTCACAACCGACATCTGAGGGTGAAGGTCAAGAATCTACTTCTGAAGGTCACTTGGACAACGACCAAGGGGATCATATGAAGAAACAACTTGATGATGTTACAAACAGAATGGACAAGATAGCAAACAACTTAGAGATGATGCAGACAGTTTTTCAATCAATTTTATCTCACAACAGACATTTAAACACCAGAGACACCAGTGACAACGCTGGACCGGTATGCATGAATTTTGGACCATCCAACCATAGGTCTCATCAATCTAATAATACAGACTCCAGTTCGGAACACATGTCTGAAGAAGAAGACGATGATAACATTACAGCTGCCTCTGTAGGTGTCGCTTATAAATCACAGAGCGTAACAACAAAGTTTCCTCCTTTTACTGATAAAGAAACCTGGAAAATATGGTTTAACAGATTTGAGACTGTCGCTGACAGGAACAACTGGGATAATGGTCAACGACTGGATCAGTTATTACCTAGACTGCAAGGCAAGGCTGGAGAATTTGTATTTGGACAACTGACAAGGAAAGTTCGAAACAACTACAATGCCCTGATCAAAGAATTACATAACAGATACAGAGTAGTAGAGACTTCAAAGACATTTGCAGCCCAGTTCAGCAAAAGGCAGCAAAAACCTGGTGAAACGGTAGAAGAGTATGCAGCTGAACTTAAGAGGTTATATGACAAAGCCCACAAAGAGAGAGACACAAAAACAAGATCAGAAGATGTTCTTCGCAAGTTCTTTGATGGTCTACAGAATCAAAAAGCAAGTTTTGAAGTGGAATATCATAAAGACCCTAAAGATGTAGATGAGGCAGTCTATTTTGTTGTCAGCTATGTGGAAACAAAGAGGTCACAAAAGACTGACAAGGAAGGTTCTCTCAGGCTAACTAAAACTGCTACAACTACTACTGATACAAGTGATGAGGATGACGAGGCAGAGGAGGAAACCAATCATGTACGGAATGTAGAAGCCGTCAGAAGTAAACCAAAAAGGGTAAACAACACCACAAATAAACCCTCCTCTCCTAGTAATACCGACAAATGTCTTACGCTCTCTAGAGAAATCAATAGAGGATATTAAGAATACCATCGCAAACTCAAGACCACGTCACAGCAGTAATCACCACAAGGATATCATTTGTTTTACTTGTAGCCAGCCTGGTCACATATCCCGTAAATGTCCACAACGTCTGCAACAAAAACAAAGCAACAACCACTATGACTCCAAAGGTCAAGTTCACCAAGGTCAATATCAACCTGCTTCACAGTATCAGGGTAATAGTCATCAAAGCAACAACACTCAGTCTGGCAACAGGCAACGGTACATCAATGACAACTATAGCAATGGTTTAAACTGTTAGAGGCTAATTCTAGTGACCGGAATGACGCCAAAGTACCTGTAACAAATGGTCATGAAAAACAAGATGAATCTACTTTAGAAACAAATCTACCAATAATACGTAAAACTGTTATAGCTAATGGTTTGTTTATTGAGGGAGCAGTACAAGGAATCAAGACCGTATTCACAACTGATACCGGTGCTACAAGAACAATTCTCTCCAAAAGACTATTTGAGAAAATACCAACACCAAACCGACCTAATCTTATGCCAGCAATCCCACTTCGAAGCGCCAATGATACACCACTTGAAGAGTATGGTAAAGCTGAATTTGAAATCCAACTAGGATCCTTGAAGATACAGCACGAAGTAATAGTTGCAGATATCTCCGATGATGCCCTCTTAGGGATTGATATTCTACAGAATAGTCCTTTACGTCTTGCAGACATATTACTTAGTAAAGGTATTATTACCTTAGGAGAACACACTATTATCTGTACCCAAGTTGGAAGGAAAATAATACGGAAAGTGACCGCTGCAGACCATTATATCGTACCAGCCCTTTCTGAATGCCTTATTGATACTTACATTGTAAAAACAGATGACCAAAGGCATTTCATCATTGAACCTACAGACAACATGATATCGAAGTACTCCCTGCTACTAGCACCATGCATTGTTGATATTAGTCAATCTACAACTGCCAAAGTTAGAGTCATGAATCCATTTCCAACTGATGTTTCCATCAATCAAGATACAGTATTGGGTACTGCAGAGCAATATGAACATGTTATTCCACTTGCAAGAAGTGAGGATGTCACTGAAACCTCTAATTACAACTCCATACGTAGAATAAAGATAACTAATGACTTTACAGATGACGGCAATAATACATCTACTGTGGAAAATGACATAAGCAACATTGTTCCACCACACTTGAAGAGT